AACAAAGGGTTAAATAATAAGAAGGAAACAAAAGTTTCGTTTCTTCCTTAAGGGGGAAAGAGAGCCCTCTCCGAGATATTTAAATACCTCCGACTGAGGTAGGCACACACAGGCTGTTTACTCAGGTAAATAAGGTCTCTCTATAAATAGGAGCTGAGTCCATGGAGCAGGCATTGCTTCACTCTCAGGCACACTGGCCGATGGGAGACGGGGCTAGCTGACTGGAACTCGCCCACCAGCCCGCCAGCTCGCCCACGCACTCACAGGCATGCCCCTTCTTAGACCTAACCTGTAGAGCTGCCTGCCTTTGCCTCGCACTCCAGGCCAGGAGCTGCTCACAGTAAGGGGAGCACTGTAAGCTGTAAGAGGAAGCCGAATGTATACGATCCCCCCCCCCCGAACCAGGAGAAGACCGAACTGGGCCACTGACGCGTTCTGATCCGTCCAGCACACCTGTTCCCCTCCCATCACCTGCGTGCGAGACCTCAGGCGCTCTCTGCTGTGTTTGGATGCTTTTTTTTTGAGACTCCGGGTAGAGGGCTGTCAGAGCAGTCAAGCCATTGACTGGACCATTTCTGGACTGGAGGCAAGAGCATCCCGTTTCTGCAAATTGAAAGAGACAGAGGACTTCAGCTCCCCAAGAGCGACTGATCTGCGAAGCTCTTCCCGTTGCATGGTAAGAAAGAGCACTGTTTCTTTATACACAGTCTGTTTATAGGGGTGACATTACTAACATGCTTTACAAAACAAGATTAATTGGCCAAAAGTGTCAAAGTGATCAGGTTCACTTGGAAATGTGAGCACTTTAAGGGAATTAAATTATATCCCTAATGACTTACTGGATGACCTAACTCTATGAGCAAACCAGTGAGCCTGCATTGCATTCACATGACTCCGGGACACAGGAGTTGAACACGTACTGTAAATGAGAAGAAACAAGTCTGTAACCAACTTTTCCGCTTTTCATTTTGAAAGTGTTTGAAACCAAGGACAAACATTCAACAGTACCTTTCTACTTTGCTCTAATTAGTTCCTGTCGAAGCAGGTGACACTGAAACACTAGAGGCTTCTTTTGAAAGAAAAATAGTAAGAATGGGGAAACCCATGAATAAGAAATGCAATTT